CCACACGTGCTCCCAGTTCTAAACCAGTAGTGAAGGTAAGAGAAAACTATTACTGATTAAGGTAAATAATAACACATATGATATATGCTGTCTTATTTTTCTGGAATGAAGAAGATCAGAATAAATTAACCATTTTCATCTTCCAAGTCTATAATTTATTTGGGAGAGGGAGGGTGATATCTTTCCCAAGCTAATGTCCTCCAAATTTTTACAACTACCAATTTGAGAATCTTTAGATCTAGGAACATTGCTTTTAGTCCACAAATTCAAATATTATCCCTGACTTTATCCATTACAGTTCTCATGCTCTTGAGAAAGGCTGGGAGAATCAATTGTGCCAAAAAGAGCATATTTGAAAACTGAGATAAATATCTTTTTTTTTTCAAATGTATGGTACATTTCAGCATTTCAATATGCAAAGCAGCAATTTGATAACGTTTTCCTTGCCAGAACATGACTGAAATGTGAAACACAGTATACGATTAGTGGAATGCCACCTATTTCAGCTACAGAGTACATGGACTGAAAAGTCAACTGGGGTCATTTCATTGATGAGATGTCAAGAGAAAAAGACACACATTTTCGTTAAGGCAGCCTTTTTGCCAGAAGACACAGATGTAAATGCTACATTAGATTCTAATTAGAATTAGAATCTACATTAGATTCTAAGCCTTTTGCAATAGCAGCACAAAAACTCCCAACAAATATGGCTGATTAAAATTAATGATGATTTATTAAGTGAGTGAAGGTTATCTCATTGCAGCTCATTTTAAACAATGCTTAAATTGCCTAATCAAACATATATAAGCTTATTTATATGCTAGTTGAATATAATTGCCTCTACCATTAACAGTTACTCTGAATGCTATGAAAATTTAATACATTAAGAAAACCTCCTAAGCAAATTTGAACTCTGAGGTATGATTTCAGCAATAAATCTTAAGGTATTTTATTAAATGGATGTATTTGATAAACAATTTGTGACCCATTTTTATCTATATAACATTAATAAAAAATGAAATAGCTTACCCTTCAAATCAAGATCCGTGTTTAACTAGGGATAAGCAACATTTCTGTAGCTATAAAACATTTCAAAAATGTTCTTTAGGTCTCCAGGGGTTTTGTGGTGACACAATGATTTCACTGGAGGCAGAAAGGATGAATTCTTTAAATGCATGTTCATGGGTGGGGAACAGCCAATTATATGATGCTGAATTTCAGCAATACAAGCTTGAAAACTCTGAAGGATGCAAAATAGTCATAAAGCAACCAGAGTCCAATTAGAGCAACTTTGAGATCCTTACTCATGTTGTAGATCACGGGTGTCAAACTGACTGCATCAGGTTGCTGTCATGTGATATTTCACAATGTATTTCCCCTTCACAGAGCTGGGGTAGGTGTGGTTCAGTGGTGGGTTCCTAATCCCGTTCCAACCGGTTCAGTTAGAACGGGGCCGGCAGCGTCCTCGTGCATGTGCACAATTCACGCATGCGTCTTAGCACCTGCGCGATGCTCCAGCTGCTCGCGGAGAATCACGCAGGCCCTGTATGTGCCATCCAGCTGCTTGTGGAGTATCACGCAGGCGCTGTATGTGCCATGCACCTGCGTGGAAGCGCAGAAGCCTTCAAAAACCGGTAAGGAGCGCGGACGGGCGGGTGGGCCCTTCGCAGTTCCTGGAAGTTACTTACTTCCGGGTTCGCCGACCAACTGGTTCGCAGGGACTGCCGCGAACTGGTTGAAACCCACCCCTGCTGTAGTTTGTGTGTGATGCATCCAGCCCATGGGCCACCAGTTTGGCACCCCTGTATTGTCTCCAAAATTAAAGCTCATGTTGAAACAGTTTTAAATTCAATCAGAGCAATGATATCTGAAAGATGTAAACTATGATAAATTCAAATTTGCTGATCTAATTTAGAATTATATTCCCCATTGTTCAAAACATTGTTCATTAAACAATGACAATTTGAATTATCTTCTCTTCGTTAACTACTGCCTTTCTCAAATTAGGTGGTCACAGAAATGTTGTGGCCCACCATGGAGCAGAGCTGGCAGAAGATTCGGACAGTGAGGAGGTTGGGGAGGAACATGGGTCAGTCCTGGAGTCTGGGGAAGGCTTTGAAGAGTGCTCTGGGTCAGAGGCAGAGATGGGGCCAGGGCCATCTGACAGTTATTAGCTGCCTTCGGAGTCAGACATCAGTGAGGCAGACGAACAACTGGAGCCTGTTTCCAGAGTTGCCAGATGAAGGGAACAACTAAGGAATAAGGGTCGACTTGGGAGTAAATCCACAGGTGGCCACTGAATGGCCTGTCCCATAGGGAATAAAAGAGGAGTGAAAGGGGAGGGATGTTTGCAGGAGACAATTAGTNTATCTTGTTAGCTGAATTTATGACCAAGTCTTGTATCTTCAGCAATAGATGAGAGGAATTGAGACAGAGATTCAGTCAGGAGTTCCAGAACAGCTATCAAAAAAATCAGCCAACTTGATGGATTATCTATCATGTAAACTATTGGGGCACAAAGGAAAGTCTGTGTATTTTGCACCAGTCTGAATCACAACCTGCTTGCCACATGCTGTCTCTTCTGCAGCACATATATGCCCCACTAACTATTTGTAGAGGGCATGGCCTCAAGACAAAATCTTCACCTTATCACCTGCCACTTGCTGATCAGCCAGAAGTCAGCAATGAAATAATTGTTTCTAGTATTTTGCTCTTATCCCAGATCAAGACTCTTCTCCTTCCATCTGGTTACTAGCCTCTCTGCTTATTATGCAGTGCTATTTTGCCTGTAAGAAAACCAAAATCTTAACTTCTATAGCCACTTAGTATGCTGCATTTAAAAGTAAGTATTGACTTATCAAATTATTAATCGGCTGCTGCAAAAAAAAATTGAGCAGTGATAACAACAAAAGTCACTCATACCCTTTCTCAAACTCCTTCATTTCAACAATATCTATCTAATCTCTATATCTGAGTTGAACAAATCTGAACAACTAATAGAGAGCAGCCAAGAAAGAAAAAAAAATCTCAAATCTTTGCTACCGTCTATAAATATTCAATTTATATTCAATATAAATATAAGTAAGTGGCAAATACATTGATGGCACAATTAGGACATGCAAGAGTTGTTAAGCTTGTGCTGGCGGACTGGTTAGAATGTACAATTACATGCTAATTCTGCCGACTGCCAGCGGTTTGATTCTAACCAGCTGAAGGCTGAATCAGCCTTCGATCCTTCCAGGGTTGGTAAAGTGAGATTGTGGGGGCAATATGCTGATTTTGTAAACCACTTAGAGAGTGCTATAAAACAGGGATGGGCTTCTGGTTGTTCTCAGAGGTTTGGGAGAACCTCTAGCTAAGGGTTCCACCACAAAACCGTGCTTGACTAAACCACGTCCGACTAAACCGCGTAGCTGANTCTTATGGCCGATTGAGGAAAACAGCAACCAATCACATTTTACAGTATGATTTAAAGAAACAGGTACAGCATTGCTATAAATAAATATATGGTTTATATATTGCCAACCCAACCGTTAGAATTATATTCCTAACAGGTAGGTCTTGATTTTGTGTGAACTGTGAAGTCAGTGGAGACTACAATAGAATGGAGGGCACTTCCCTGTATTGTCAGGGCCTTGTCTTCCCTCTGAAGGTTGAGCAAATTGGGAAGATAAAAACTAAAGAAAAAATAAAAAAAATTGGATACTATTTAGAAATGCTTTCAAGAGGGAAATATAGAATTATAATCTTTAAAAGTAATAAAATAATAATAATAAAACTAAAGTAGCTGAATTATAAATCATGAAAGTTCACTAATGAAGTGATTTTATCATTTATAATGTTCTGCTCTTTGATCAGAAACTAGAGATACTGGATGATCAGTATCTCAGTTATGATATATAATGCTAAATGACTAAATATAGTAGTGAGGCCAAATAATATAATACTTATAATGATCCCTGATTATTTAAATTTCCAATTTTACTGATAATAAAATAATTTTGATAAAAATGTAATGTTTTATTTTAATAATATCCTTTTACCTATGTATAATTCAGACATATTCTAATTCTTTAATATGACAAATAAATATTTGTCTCCATTTTTATTTGGTTTTAATGTTATGCCAAAGTATGATCATGGACCATTCTGAATAAATTATTGTTTCTCAAAATTATAGGATAAGAGGGTCGATTTATTAAGCCATAGTGTACAATAAATTTCAGATGGAATCCCTTAATGTGAATAACTAGAAATTTAAATGATAATAAATTACCAATAGACATTTAGGGTTTTTTTAAAGCACACAATCCAACAAATATAGAGTAGGATTAAGTAGAATTTAATAACCAGGAATATTTCTAATAATAATTTCTTGCAGAACTATGCATGCTTAATTGGTTGATTATGTGCCTACCAATGATGTCAGCTGATAACAGCCACTTAGACAGGCTGTCTACAGGATGATTTGTCCCCAGCTTGGTCTTTCAGATCTTCCAATGGTGTACCCATTGCTGCTGTAATCAACTCAATCAACTCATCATTGTTGGTTGATCGCCTCTTCTCTTCTTTCTTTCCCAGGATTATAGTATTCTTGGGTTTCTCCTAATATGTCAAAATATCATAATTTGATCCTGGGCATTTGTGAGAACTCTGTGATTCATTTGTTTGTTTTCAGCCATGCATGATATTCTTGACTCTTCTTCAGTACCAAAGTTTAAAAGCATCAGTGCTTTTTCTGGTTTGCTTCTTCAAAGACCAACATTTGTTTCTCTGCAATGTTCCATGGACAACCGTTGTCCACACAATTCTGATCTTTGTAGGTATAGGCACCTCAGAGTATCTGAGCCCTAACCCTAACCCTAACCCTAACCAAATATTTGGACAGTCCATGATACCATTCAGGTTCTGTTTCTCTTTCACGTGGCCAGTTAAGGGGTGGAGCAGCAAACCTATTCATGGTTATTAATAGAAATAATTGATTATGGCTTTCCTTTCAGTGCACAGTGACATGCGGCCAGGGTTTGAGGTATCGAGTAGTTCTGTGCATTGATCACCGAGGGATGCATACCGGTGGCTGCAGTCCTAAAACAAAACCGCACATCAAAGAGGAATGCATTGTCCCTACTCCGTGCTACAAGCCAAAAGGTAAATTAACAAGCAGCCTAATCCAGGCAAGCAGTTATTGAAAATAAGTGCATTTTCCCCCAGTGGGAAGATGATTGCACTTTTGGGTTGTGTAGCTGAGAGCTAATGCCTGAGGCTTCTTTTAAGGAGCCAATACTGATTGTCATGCTTTGACAAAAACAGATTTCCTGGCAGGGACTCTAAGCCTATGTAATCACTCTTAAGCTCTACTTGTCTGTAATATGGTATCTTTATGGATGGAACAAAGGCAGAGGAAAAGAAAATGCTATTACCACAAAGGAAGTAAGAGGGCTAATATATTTTGGTAATAAAATTAGGGACAAATTACTCTTGAGCAGATGTGGATCCACTGATCAAGGGTTTAACTTATAATAGTCCCAAAATTGAATTCAGGCTCTAGTATTCACTTCCTTCCTGAACTAGCGTACCAATCTTTGGCTGAGGATTATTGATCCGTTAGCCACTATTTTGTTCTGCAAGTAAATTGTTAATTTTTGCCAAGTGCTACTAAAGAGAAAATAGGTTCCCATGATAAATACCTTTCAGGAATTAATGGTAGCATAAATACCTCATTATAGTGCTGTGTAATGAGAAAACTACAGATTATGGTTATTTAAAGAGCAGGATCCATCTTTGCAGTTAACAATGCAGCTTCCCCCCCTCCCTCCCAGTTGTTCTATTTGGCTTGGAAGTGCTGTACTGGTGATAATTCTTCATTAATGCACTGGTTGAGTAAAATGTAAATAATATAGCATTCTGTAAATTAGTAAAGTCTATAAACAAGTAAAGTTGCCTGGAACTCTGAGATTTAATAACAAATAAAGTGTTTAAAAGGGACAAAATACAATGGGAAATAGTCTCTGCAAGACATCTTTTTTATAATTCAATGGGGAGGGAAGTAGTGAGATAAATTGTTTCTTGCATCCTTTATTCAACAAACAATTTAGCTTTATTTACAAATTTAAAAATGTAAATAAGACTGACAGTAGTACCTAACAGAGGCTTGGTCAGCTTTTTACAGTTTTTTTCATAGACACTGACTAGTAAGCAGTGTAGGTTGTTGAGACTTCAATTTCTATCTCCCAAAAGTGCTTTGGAGCACATAGGAATGCAAACGTAGCACTTTTCTACAACACCTAAAGTGACTGCATCTTTTAGTGGGATCACAAGAGAGAAAAGTATAGAATGTCAGCACTGGTTTATTTGTGTTCTATCTGCAATGGAAATCAAGAATATTCCTCTCAAACAACATGGAGGATCTGGAAGAGCTCAAACCAACAACATAATTACCAATTCGAGCTACTAATATTCAAAGACATTTCAATCTAGGATACGGGTGTCAAACTCAAGCCCGCAGGGTGCTTAGATCTGGTCCATGGGGCTGCCCTGAAAATAGCGAAGGACTGGCCCGCAGTGCCTCTGCCAGTGAAAATGGAGCTTGGGAGCACATTTTCTCTGGCAGAGCGCTCAGGTCACCACAGGCACCCCCGACACGAGTGACACTGAGCTGGCCATGCCCACTCTGGCCGCACCTACTCTCTCTCTGATCTAGGGCTACCTCTCTGCTTCTGTAGGGAACCTGTGGTAGGTTTGTTCAATTACAGGTCGAATCTTCTCTAACGAAGGCAAGGACTAGGGGTGATATGAATACTAGAGTTGCTGTCAGAGAGAAAAGGGAATCAGCCTATTCTCCCAAAGCACCTGAGGGCAAGACAAAAAGTAATGGGTGAAAGATCATTAAAGAAAGATCCAACCTAAAACTAGGGAGAAATTTCCTGACTGGGGGAACAATTAATCAGTGGAATAGTTTGCCTCCGGGAGTTTTGGGTGCTCCATCACTGGAGGTTTTGAAGAAGAGACTGGACAGCCACTTACCCAGAATTGAATAGGCTTTTCTTTTTCTTTTTCTAATGTTCAATTCTTTGTTGGGTAAGTTGGGAAAGAGACCTCATACATAACAATAAGTAGCTTGGCTACTTCCATAGTGCAAATGTAGATTTCTACAAAAGATTTATCCAGGATATAAAGTATGCAAATATATTTATTTATTACATTTTTTGCTCAGTCACCTCAATTCAAACACTAAAGCACAGATGTCAAACTCGCTGCGTCACGTTGCTGTCATGTGACATTTCATGACGTTTTTCCCATTCATGGAGCTGGGGAGGGCATCGCCTGGGCGTTACGTATCCAGCCGCAGGATGTCAGTTTCAGACCCCCTGCATGGCGAGTAAAGCAAGGATAGAGAAGCTTTGACAGACCTTAAAGGATAGAGAAGGCCTTAAAGGCTGACTAGTCCAATCAAGCAAGAATTCTCTGCCTCACCCAGAGTCCCATCTCTCCTCTAATTCCACCATCTCCATTGCTCAGCTGGGCCTAACAAATGCTCTTAGAACACTCCGTCTTTCTCCCTCAAAAGAGAAGTATAAGCCATGCAAGAAGCATGTTACTCCTCTATTTCCTAATAGGAATCTTGCTTTACAGAGCCAGGTCAAACCAATTTGCCTAGCACCTATCCTCCATGTTCTTCTATATAGACAAGAATTTAGGAAACTGTAGCTGCCTGTGTCCTTTTCCATGTACACGCAGGCTTAAGTGATGGAACAGAGTGGTCTCAGTTTATTTTGTTCAGTGAAGTGTGGGTCTAGCCCTTCAACTAAATTCAGGGCCCTGATCCTGCACTAAAGAGAAGTATGCCTTCATGTAAGTCTAAAGTTGATGGTTTTTACTTCAGACTATTTTTTTTAATCGTATATTTAATTTCACTTTGAAAGACGCTTCATGGCAGATTTAAAGGGGACGTGCAATATGATAGCAAGGAAAATTCAGAAGTGTTTCTGGATGCATGTCATGTTCTGCATAGTCTCTAAAGCTCAAATTTTAATATTAAAGATACATTATTCAATGTCAATTGAATTTATTGTATTGAGCCCTTTAATAAACGTATTGAGTGCTCTAATAAACTAGTTCAGCTACACTTAACCCTTACGTCAATCTTGCTAGGGAAGTTATTGTTTGAATAGCTTAAATNAGGGAAAAGGGCGGCCTATAAATCCTAATAAAATACAAATGCAAATACAAATGCTCATTTTAAATCATAGCTATATTGTCAATATTGATTTGGATGAGTTCAAAGTGAAACAGTAGCACTAACCAATGAATTTTACATCAGTTTGTACTCTGAGCCTAATGATAGCTACCAATCCTCCTCCCAAAGCCCCAAATTTTGAAATCCTAAAAGTCTTAAAGTCAGTGTACCTAGTGGTTGATGTTTAAACTTAATTAAAAAAACAGTATCCTTTTTTCAGTGTCATATCTGCTCACCACAGCTGATGGCAGTCCCGTATAAAGACAATGAACAAGCAATACAGGAGATAGTATTAAGGCAGAATTATGCTTTTGAAGAATTTATCTTTTCTGTTGTAACTCAGTTAACAATCAATCCTTTACGAACCAATTGTTTCTTCTCTTGCCTGTCTCAGAATTTGGCTGCTCTTACTTTATGAGTAGGAACAAACTCCTTATCTATGAGCCATAGGCTTCATCTATCTGCCTGACTTCCACCTCCAGACTCTATGTCGCATATGCTTGTCTAGGTTAGATAGCTTTCTTTGCCAATTTTTCATTTTTAAAACCATGCATTGAACTGAAAGATACACTTTTGTCAGTATAAAAATGTCTTAATATGTCTTCCTAACTGGTGAGCTGCTATAGGAAGACAGTGTGAAACTTAATTAGGAGTATTGAAGCAAAGACTTTCTGATGTGATTGATTAAATATATGTACGATGTACATCATTTGTGTTATCATTTGATATGACAGCAATTGATTGAAATGATGTACCAGTAATATATAAAAATTACACAGATAGCTACTGCCATAAAGTTAATTATTTAATGGACACCTTCTCCCCCAATTGGTCCATTAAAATGTGATTTATTAGTACTACTGCATCATTGCTCATGAATTCAGAATGAAAATAAAAATAATAAGATTGGGAAAATAATTTCTGAAAAGTTACTGAAACATAAAGAGTGCCAAATTTGCAATGGAATTATAGTTTTCAAAATATGTTAATCCACTTTTATGGCTCAGAGAAGTAAGTGAACTTTAAACATAAATACCTTTCTCTTGGATTGATAAATACATTTTATAATTACAAAGAAAAAGACTATTTTTTAGGGCCCAACTTATTTCTATTCAGATGACTCTACCAATATATAGGACTATTTATACAGCTTGCTCACCACCTACAGTAGTGAAAACTTTACTTCCTTTCACATATGTTAGTAAATCCCACAAATTTTACTTTAGAATGGACTAGGCATATCCAAGTTAATTTTCATAATTGAACAGATCCAGTCTGGGGATCTGTTTCATGATTCCCCCATACTCATCTATTAGTTCTCTTTTCTTTTAATGCTGGTGTGTCATGGTGGAGAAGAGGAAAACTTTACAAAAAATCAACTTTCAAGTTCTTTACAATTCAAACATCTGTGAACATGCCTAAATAATTCATTAAATGCACGAACTGGAAGATTTTTATTTGTTTTTTTTCTAAAAAATAAATCAAGACAAATTATGAACTAAATATCAGCATACCAGTGAACAATATTCAGTATAAAGTGGGAAACACTGCAAAGAAATACTTTGCCTTAATTTGGGAATATTGTTTTTAAAAAATCCTGCTGATCATAAGTGAAGAAGAAAACAGCAACTGCAAGTCTTTTCAAAAAATTATATAAGAAAAAGTATCTTAGAAGTTTTATTGTGCACATTAGTAAATTCTTCAAAGAGCAAAAAGAAAAAAAGGGGAAAGAAAGAGATTGCAGATCACCAAGAGGCAACTTTTACAAATCAAGATAACGTTCAGATGTGTTTGAACAGTCCTAAAAGTTCTCTCCATTCCTAGGGTAAGTTTGACTTACTGCAGTTTTGTAGTACAGGTAGTCCTCAACTTACAACCACAACGAGTCTTTACTGACAAGCAAAGTAAATGG